GCTGTGTGGAAAGTGAATTTGCTCTGTAAATCTTCACCCAAATCACAATTAAAAAAAAAAAAAAAGAAGAATTGTGAATTAGTAATATCCTCAGAGAGACCATTGTGTTTAATTGGGGTCAGATCAGATTTCTGGCAAACACAGAAGTATAATTGCTGTAAGAAAGTTAAAAAAAAAAAAAAAACTGTGTCATAATTTTTCCCTGCTACTCTATGAGATTTCAAAAGAGCAAATGTAATTTTCATCAAAATCTTTTTACATTTTACCCAACAATTTATCTATAATTGTTTACCTTGTGTCATTTATGGAATGATAAATGAACCCAAAAAAACAAACTCACTGCCATCGAGTTGGTCCTGATTCATAACGACCCCTCCTTGGGTTTCCAAAGTGGTGTCTCTATGAAAGTAGACATGAACAGGTTGGAAAAAATCTTTAGGTCTGCAAAAAAATTGATCATTTCTTCTAAGATAGATTTTACTTTATAACTTAATAATTTATTACAATTTTATTATCTTTAAGATGTGCCACTGTAATATTTCCCCTATAGGAGTTAGCTTAAGAATAAGGTCCTAGGTGGCACAAACAATTTACTCTGGACCATTAAAGGAAAGGTTAGTGGTACTAACCTATCCAACAGCACCTCAGAAGAAAGGGCTGGCAATCTGCTTCTATAAATCTTACAGCCAGGAAAGCCTTATGGAGTTCAGTTCTATTCTGCAACATATTGTGTTGACATAACTTGGAATAAAGTTGATGGCTATGGGTTTCCTTTTGGGGGGTTTATTAGCTTAGCAGACAAATTTTACAGGCTTAGGCATCAGTAAGCCAGGTATTGGTCTGAAATTTGTTTTAGAAATTCTTGAACAAAAGGTAAATTCAAAATTCTCTTATCTTTCTATTGCTATTTTGTCTAATCTTGGCATGATGGTAGGAAGAACCTTAAAGGTTTTGATAATCTTTAAAGACTCATTAAATCAATCATGTAAATGCCCTTTTTAAATAAAAAAAAAATTAGCTAACTAGACGTGATTCTTTTCTTGTCCAAGCTTATTCAGTGTTTTCAACCACCACTCCACCTGAATGTCCCATCAAGACTGTTATAAGGGCCTCTTAACCAATCTCCTGCCTCCATAGAATGTCTCTTCATTTAATCAAGTTTTTTTGTTTCTTTGTTTGCTCATTGTAATGTTTTTATTTTGGGGGAATTTTCACATATTTTAATTGAAGTTATTCCCAGGTATCTTGATTTTTTTTGTTGCAATTGTGGAAACTATCTTTTTCTATCATAGCATTTAAAGAAGCTATTGATGTTTACAAATACTTTCTTGTATTCTGCCATTCACTGAACTTTCTAATTATGTCTAGATTTTTTTGATTGATTGTCTTGGGTTTTTAATTTTTAAAAACCTATCACTCACCTGTAAACAATATAATTGTGTCTTCTCCTTTTCAAGATATACCTCATGTCTTTTGCATGTCTTACTGCATTGCAGAATTTCTGGAACTATATTTAATACTAAAGGTGATAATGTATTTTCTTGTTTTGGTATTAATTAAATTAAAATTTTTGAATAATATACTTTCATGTCAAAAAAACAAAACACACTCACTGCTGTCAAGTCAATTTGACTTACAGTGATGCCGCCTTGGGTTTCCAAGGTGGTGTCTCTACAGAAGTAGATTGCCCAATCTTTCTTCCAAGGAGTAGGCTAAAATCTATTAGAGTAACTTTAAGATTTCCATTTTATCTCTGCCTTCCAGGTGGAGATGAGACATTAGGGAAAAGTGACATGAATCTTGATAATGGCAGGCAAGATTATTGGGAATTAAAGGGACAACCCTATCAATCATTTTCTAGGGTTGATGTTCCATCACACCTTCAAGAATTGCTATTCCTTGAGCATGAGTAGAATTAGATATTTTTTGATTATGTTGAGAAAGGTACTAAAGGTTGAATAAGAGGTAAGGGAACTCTTAGTCCATGTAGACCTTAATCAGTTTTAAGAGTAGTGCAGGAACAACTGATGGATTTTGAAGTTCTTGTAAAGTCTGTAGAGAGAACTTTTATCGTGACATTGTTTTTACTGTGGTCATGACAATACTTTGCTTTGACACAAGTTGGTTTTTGTTGTGTGTTTTTGTCTGTTTGTTTTGTTGCCATAATTAGAAAGCTGATGTTTGTCTGCTTGCTCTTTCTACTCCAACTACACATTAGTTTGGTTAGCATTTTACAGTTATTATTTCAGGAGGTTTTTGCCATTCTTGTTAAACTTCAAATGAAAAATAAAGTTATACTTCTTATTGCTTTAAGAAAGGATTTAATATAGCTAGAATAGTTTACTTTTAGAAATATTGAGGTTTGAAAAGCTGTAAAATTTTGGTGATGATAGGACACCCAATTAAAAATAACAACAGGAATCTAGAATTACAGTTCTGATGCTCAGGAGAGTAATCAAGTGTAGAGACATAGATTTGGGAAGCCGTGGGAGTATGTATGCCCTCCTGAGCCTTTTCTCAGAAGGAAGGTTGGGCAACCTACATCTGTAGTAATACTGCCTCGGAAACCCAAGGAGGGGTCACTATGAGTCAGGTCTGACTCCATGGCACATAACAATAACAACAACCTGAACCTTTGAATTTGCCTACATTTGGGCTATGGGGAGAAATGTGATTGTTAAAGGACACAGGAAATAAGTGGCTAGAGAGGTAAAAGAGTAGAGTGAGAAAGTAAGGTGCTCAACATTGTCAGATGCTACAGAGTAATCAATCAAATAATAGCTATCATAGGCATAGAATTGAATTTTCAAAGTATTCTCATATGTCTGATGTCATTTGACCTTCCTAAAAGATACGTGAAGAATATGAAGATTACGAACTAAGCATTGGATTTTATCATTAAAAGTCCTTTTTGACATTAAAGAGAGAAATCTCTTAATATACAAAAATCTACTATATATAAAGAACTCTTACAAATTGATGAAATTTAAAGAAAATTGTTAAAAGATGAAATTTAAGAAAACGGGCAAAGGACATGAATTGACATTTTAAAGATGAGAAACATTCAAGGGGCTAGTTAACATATGAAGATGTTTAATGCCAAAACAAAGAGGTACTTACTAGCTCTTACCCTTGTTTTTCAGATGTCAGAAGAGACAGGTAACGTGTCAGTTGAATAAATTGTAGACAAGGATCTGCAAAAAGGTTGTAAATAACCACAACTCTAATATTCTTATTTTTTTTTTTAATGTTTTATTGTGATTTGGGTGAAAGTTTACAGAGCAAATCAGTTTTCCGTTCAACAATTCACACACGTTTTGTTTCATGTCACTGATTGCAATCCCCTTAACGTAGCATCACTTCTCCCACTTCCTGTTTCTCTTGTTTCCGTTCGTTTGTCCTTCTCTCCTAACCCTTCCTGCCTTCTGAACTTTGTCCTTGGGAAAATGCTGCCTTCATCCTTTTTACAAATAAACTTTATTTTTCAAGGGTAGTTTTAGTTTTACAGAACAATTGTGGAGTAAGTACAGAAAGTTCCTACATACCTTCTCTCCCTTTTGCATAACGTTTCTCCCATTTTTTAATTTATCTTTTAAAATTTTTTATTGTGACCTGGGCACAAATTAACAAAGCAGATTCATTTTATTCTCAACAGTTCACGCGCTTTTTTTTTTCACGGCATCCAGTTATAATCCCAACAATAATCGGGTCTCCTCCCATCTCCTCCCTGTGACTACCCCTTTCCTGTGTCCTCCTTATCTATGTACTCCTCTGTCCAGCTTTCCCCGTATGCAAATGCTGCCCTTTTGATCTCAAATAGTTGATGGTTCTAAGGAGTGTGTATCTTCCTAGAGTAATTTTTAACCTTATAGACCTGTCTTTTGTTTGACGAAAATTGAGCTATGAGAGTGAGTTCGGTTCCAGTCCAAAATTACAAATCTCAGGAATAAAAATGCATAAATAGTAGTTGAAACCTGATTCCTTCACCCGGCAAATATTTATTAAGCATGTGCTAGGTGTCATGTGCCATTCTAAGTTCTAGGAATAGAGTAGCTAACAAACCAAGTAGTCATTTAAATTTTACCCAGAAATTCATTAAGAATGAAGATTTTTGTGATCTCTGGTGGCGTAGTGCCTAAGGCACTTGACTGCTAACCAGAAGGTTGGCAGTTCAAACACACCAGCAACTCCTTGGAAGGAAGATTGGGTGATCTACTTCCATAGTGATACCACCTCAGAAACCCAAGGAAGGGTCACTATGAGTTGGAGACAACTCGACAGCACATAACAACAAGAAGAACAAATAGTAAATTAGCTTTATGCTTGCTTTTTATTTTCCTCATCCCAAATGCAATCTTTAAGTACTCAACCAAAAAAAACAAACCCATTGCCACTGACTCCATTCCAAATCATAGATACCCTACAGGACAGAGTAGAACTGCCCCATAGGGTTTCCAAGGCTGCATATCTTTACAGAGGCAGACTGCCACATCTTTTGCTCACAGAACAGCTGGTAGGTTTGAACAACCACTAAAGAAATGGCCTACAGGTCTTCCATTTTCTACTTTACCTCATGGGTTAGAGTGTACACAACAGCCAGAGCCTTCTTCACACCCTACAAGACTTTCATTTGCCCTAAATGCTGACAGGAATAGTGGTGGGTGGTATTATACTGATTTTAAGGAACTGGCATAAGTACTTAAAATGTGTACCTTAAGAGTTAAATGTCTCTCTTTCACATGGCTTTGCAGGTTAATCAAAGTTGAAGCAACCTAGTTTTGATATTTGTATATTCCACCGAGCAGCCTATACAATGTAGGACTGCTCTCATTCTTTCTTTTCCTAAAAGGAAAAGATAAAAATATGCTTATCTGAGCTTTTTTTTTTTTTTTTTACCTGACACAAAGACTCTGGCCAGTAGCTGAGGAAGCAGCAAAAGAAGGTGACAAGGGTTGGGGAAAGGTCACAACAAGAAACAAATTCGGGCCTGACCAACCATGAAAGTATTTACTGCAGATTGAAATGGAGGAAGGGCATCCACAAGTCTTAGGTTCTAAATTATCATGGGGCAGGGACCAGTCTTTGTAATTGTCACAGTGCTTAGAAATACATGCCATTTAGATATTTAATCAGTCTGTTTGCTCCTTTTACTGTTTAACTATAAGAAAGTGTTGCGGACTCTGTATTATGTTGACTTCTTAATTGATTTAGTTGCAGAAGAAAATCAGAACATAATGGAAACATTGAGAGGCAAAGTAAGAGAAAAGCTAAAAAATGCTAAGGTAATTCTTTTTTCTTTACTGGTTTCAAGTTATAGTTTAAATAAGACATGTAGCTAATAAACATTTCTTTGTTTAAAAAAAAAAAAAAGCCCAAAATGAACCTTAATATAACTCCTTAATTCCAAAAAGCTTTAAGTTCTTTCCCAGAGTTGTTTTTTTTTAAATTCTATTGTGCTTTGGGTGCCAATTTACAAATCAAACTTGTTTTACATTCGGCAGCAGTTTGTGCAGCCCGATTACCATCCCCAACCATAACAAACTCTCCTCCCCTCTTGTCCCTGTGACTACCCTGCCCTGTGCCCTTCTTAACTATGCATTCCTGTCTGTCCAGCTTTTCCTCTATATGAATGCTGCCCCTCTGGTGTCTCATGACTGATTGCTCTAAGGGGTGCATCTCCCTAGAGTAGGTGGGTGCATTGCTTTGGAGTAGGTGTTCTGTGTGAAGGTCTTTCTACTGTTGGGCTGAGAGCCAATCCATGGGAGTGAGTCCATTTCTAGGCCCGAAGGGTAACCCGGGGCCATAGTCTCA